AATATATATATATATATATATATATATATATACACACACATACACGTTTCGCCAAAAAATTTGCTTGGTTTGTTTGATAATTAGGCCAAAAACTATTAATTATTCGTAAGTCTTAGTTTGCTCTTTATATTCCATAAATACGGAATATTGTATAATTATAAACTTATCTTATTATACGAATGAGAAAGTAAACTTGAAAAGAAATTATAAATTTAGTTTGTTTAACTATGTAAGCTTGATATGGAAATAGCAGTATTGGTGAACACAAATTCCGATGTTGCTAAGGGAAACATTAAGTTGCAGAGCACTGATATTGTGCAGTTGATAACTGTCGATTAAGAAGCTACTTAGTGAGTGTCTTTTTGCTTCATTGAGAGCCTTCAAACATTTTTAACCCTACGTGTTATTGTCCTCTTCTTCCCAGCTTTTCGGGTTTTCATTCTTTAGACGATTAGCTTAAATGTGAAGTTTTCAGTAATAACTGGAAGTTCTTGATTTGTTAGCGGTGACAAAAACAAAGAACGAATTGATGCTTTACGACTTTAGTTTTCTTTATCAACGGTTGCTTAGCGAAATTATAACCCTCTTGTACACCAAATCGTTGTACCACGATAAGCCTCGTTTAATCAATAATAAAGTGTGTTATTTTAGCTCACCAGGTCCAACACGGACTTCTGCTTGAAATCCTCTTTCCGTGTTAGAAATATCGGATTGAAAGGTAAGCTTAATTTGATTAGTTCTGCTCAGGAAGCGAAGAAGTTTTAATTTATCTGTCCAGTTTCCACAGTATCGTATAAGTGAGCTTTCCTCTTGTGTTTCTCCATCTTGAATTTCTAAATAGTCATAAGAGCACCTTTCAAAAAAATAAAGAAAAAAAATCAGTATGTATATTATATGTCCGATTTAACTTTCAGACGGATTATTTTTGTATCTTACAGAAAATAAACCAATTATTTGACTGATAGATCCAATCTGAAATGTTTATAAATTATTCAAAGAAACGTTATAACATCTTAAGGTCAAGAAATAATCTGGTTAATTAACCAGGCGTAATTTAGCAAATGTATTTCCAGCTTTAATTGTAGTTTCAGTTTGGGTTGTAAATATTATACGAGTGTGTTTACATACTAGGGAAGCTTTTTACTGTGCCAGAAGGTTTTTTTTTACCAGAGAAGAGTCAAATTTTTTCCTTAATTATTAAATAATGACAAAATAAGATATCTGAGTGTTTTAACATGTGATACTTATCGACTGAAAATCATTGCTTTAACTAATAAAGCCTGTCGTTTTGCTGAAAGTATAATTAAATCTGGTCTTTAATTAAATGTTATTTATTTTCTATAAGCAACGACATGACAGACGTTAGTTAGTACCTATATTTTAATATCTTCAGTTTCTGAGTCTCAATTTACCAAAGTGAAGTAAAATAATATTTAATTTTACACAACCTCATTCTTTACTGCGAAATACTATTAATCCATTTGTTTAAAACGTATATACAACTAAATGATTCCACGACCTGTTTGATAATTTTTTTATAGAACCACGAATTACTACATTTATTTTCAAACTGCGACTGAATAATTTCTTTTTTTAAAACAGTACTATGAAAATTATCATCATATTTATCTTATACTACAAGGATGTTAGTAAAATATTAAACACAGTTCCCATTATCAACAGTCAAGGGATTGTGGGTCGTGAGGCTAAAACGACCTGCAGGACACACTATGTGTTATTAACAGGAGTAATAGTTTAACAATTTTCCACTCGGACTGCATTATATTTATCTTATACTACAAGGATGTTAGTAAAATATTAAACACTGTTCCCATTATCAATAGTCAAGGGATTGAGGGTCGTGAGGCTAAAACGACCTGCAGGACACACTATGTGTTATTAACAGGAGTAATAGTTTAACAATTTTCCACTCGGACTGCATTATATTTATCTTATACTACAAGGATGTTAGTAAAATATTAAACACAGTTCCCATTATCAACAGTCAAGGGATTGAGGGTCGTGAGGCTAAAACGACCTGCAAGACACACTATGTGTTATTAACAGGAGTAATAGTTTAACAATTTTCCACTCGGACTGTGGATGTACTCCACTGGACCCTTACTTCACATACCAAATTTCAAGGCAATCCATTAAGAAATGTACGAGATATAAATTTTCCAATTTTGATTGAATTTCTTTGATAGAAAAACATACTTAACATTTATGGATTTTTTTTTCAAATTTGGTACACTGACAGATCTTTACAACCTACAATTAGATGCCAAATTTAGTCTAAATATAATGCACTGTGCAAAGTTATTCAACAAAAACCGCTCAATTTGACCAAAATATTTCGAATTAAAGAACGCTGATTTAGAGAAGCAAAACCAAAGGGGGAAACCATGTACAGATACATAAGTATTGGTTAGGCCAAGCAAACTAGATTAGCAGTTTCCAAAGAGTCATACGGTGGGCGGTTATTATTCATTGCCAACTTTTAAGCACAATTTGCTAAATTTTATGAAATTCTCTTAATTAAAGAGCTTTAGCGTCACGTGGTATTAGCTTAAGCAAATAATGATACTTGTTACGGCTGTACCGAGTGCATGCGGGTGATGACAAAAACCTGTTCAACTAGCTTCCATGGTGTTACTATAAAAGAAGTTATTAACACTGTTTTAGAGAAGAAAAACTACTACCATATATTTTAAAGAATCTGGTTGGTTCTGCAAAGGATAATAGGGTTGCGATCCTATTGTGTATTTTGTGTATTGCCAAAAAGTCATGATATTTAATCAAAAGCAAATTAGGTGTAAAAAAAATGTGCGGCCAAAAAAAGGATTGAGCGTGCGACTTAAAGGAATTAAATGAAAATTGGTGGTCAAACTGGTAGCTACAATTATAGTATTCATAAAAAACTTTACAGAAAATATTCATTTACTAGTTGGCTAGGCCGCGTATTTTGTTTTACCCATCATCATGCCCTAAGTTGAACAAAAAAAACGCAGCCTGGATAACTAATGAATGAATATTTGTTGTAAAAATTTTTTATCGTTATTATAAGTGTAGCTGCCAATTTTGATTTCATTCCTTTAAGCCTACACTCAATACATTTTTGGCCGCACCTTTTTTTCACACCTAAGGTGTTTGTGATTAGATTTCATTTATCGATATCTCAAATTAGTGCTAATCCACGAGGAAGTAGTATAATGGATTTATTTTTGTTATGCACAAAGCTGCACTCTATGGGATCAAACCCTGAATTCTACTATCATGAGCTCTCAAGCTTATTACTGAGCCACCAGGGAAGAGGGGTTACATGAGGTATTGTTTGTTTGTTTGTTTTTGGATTTCGCACAAAGCTACACGAGGGCTATCTGCGCTAGCCGTCCCTAATTTAGCAGTGTAAGACTAGAGGGAAGGCAGCTAGTCATCGCCACCCACAGCCAACTCTTGGGATACTCTTTTACCAACGAATAGTAGGATTGACCGTCACATTATAACGCCTTCACGGCTGAAAGGGCGAGCATGTTTGGTGGGACGGGGATTCGAACCCGCGACCCTCACATTGCGAGTCGAGCGCCTTATCCTACATGAGGTAAACAAGGATACTGACTCTTGCTGACCCTCTATCTTTAATTAAATTTGTCTACGTGGATCCATTCTTAAAAATTAAAAGATTAATCTAGTAATCAATTTCTGTGTTTTGATTAAAATAAACTGTCCAATTAGTATTTGTAATTATCTTTCTCATTATTAACAAAATAAAACTCATTCTACTTTAAACAACCGTTCTCTTTAGAGGAACAAAATTATAATAATCTTTAACGGAACAAGTTTTATTTATTTATTTTTAACAAAACAAGTTTATCATAGATTATACAACTTTTAACCTCAATTTAATTAGGCAATGTGAAGTTCATTTACTAAGTTAGATGGAAATTGTGTTTTCGCGTTTTCTAGGCTGGTTGGTAGAAATTTCACTTGCATAAGTAACTCAAGCATAACAATACAACCGAATCAAAGAAAGATAATATTTACTGATTTCACAAACAAGGCGGAAAGAAAGAATTGTGAGAGTTACTCAGAAGAAGCCTTTAAAGTAACTAACACACTACAGAATGAATTAAAAATCGATAAAAGCGCTGTGCACAAAACAAACTACGTTTTCTGAAACGGCTAAAGCATAGATCGAAATTTTTTGGATTGAAGTGTATTTGAAATTCAAGCTGAATGCTTCATTAAAATGATAAAGACATTATCGTACACGTGTAATATCCGGACCAGCTTTACACTATAAATGTTTTTGTTTTTTAAGCAATTTAAAGTGTTATTGTTTGTTTGAAGTTAACCACAAAGGTACACAATTGGTTATCTGTGCTCTGCCCATCACGGGTATCGAAACACGGTTTCTAGCGTTCTAAGTCCGCAAGAGATACCGCTGTGCCACTGGGGGACTTAAAGTGTGATGCTACAGGCAATAGGATTGTTTGTTTGTTTGTTTTTGAATTTCCTGCAAAGCTACACGAGGGCTATCTGCGCTAGCCGTCCCTAATTTACAAGTGATAGTCTAGAGGGACGGTAGTTGGTCAACACTACCCACTGTCAGTGGGATTGACGGTCACACTATAACGCCCCCACGGCTGAAAGGGCGGGCAGGTTCGGTGTCGGGATTCGAATTCGCGACGCGCAGATTGCTAGTCGAGCGCTCTACCCAGTAGGCCATACGAGTAAAGATGAAACATTAATGTACATGCTTTTGTTGAGAAAATATTTATTATATATCATATAACCTTCTCTATCGTCATCATATGGACGTTGTACGATACCGGTTGAAATTCGGTTCATTTTAGCTCTGGAGCTACAACAATATTAAGATTCCAGAAGTTCGGGAAAAAATTATCATTTTTCAATAACAAAGACACCAAAAAGGAATCTACAATGAACACTTGAATTTACTAGTAGTAAATGTAATTATATTTCTCTCTCTCTCTCTCTAGAGGTGTTGAAAAAACGAGAAATAACTAAAATAAAGCCATATCATTTATTATAGGATAACATAGTTTCAGAATTAATGTCAAATGGTACCAGAAAAATTACCTGTCATCCTTCTCTAGAGAAAAGTCATTGAAACGGATTTCAACTTGTTTCCCACGTGGTACGGCAACAGTAAAATGGCAGGTTAGGGCTGGTGGATAAGAAATGGGGAATCCTGGACTTTCGATGAAAGCTTGCGGATATCCAGACCGGAGAACGATGGATCTGTTACATTTAGGAGATGCGAAGGTCTTGGCAGTATCTGTAAACAGACAGAGAATATTTGAATTATCTGTTGTTGTTTAATGTCTGTTTTTATAAACTTTTTCAACTTCTTGACTCGTGACAATATAGGAAAGTTTAGCCTAGTTTAGGGTGGAAAACTTATGTTAAGTTTTTCTCTTGTATAAATTCTTTGATTCAATACGTTATCAACATTCGTAACTTTAGAATTTTTGGAAATTGTAATGCAAGATAACCGTAGCAGGAAGCAGAGGGAAGAGTTTCTAATGTTATGAAACATGTCATATTCACTCATTTAAATCACGTGACAATTTAAATTCACTTTATATGTACCCGGTGCTCTTAAAAACTGGAAAATAAAGATATTCAAATAAATTTTCTTACCCTTTAGGGTTAAAATTATTCAATATTAAGGAACAGCTTAAGCCTAAATATACTTTTTATTTTGTTCTATGTGATATGAGAAATGTATGCTAGTTCTAACCCTAACTTCTGATATGGTTTCCTAACCTTTTGTAATAGCTTGTTGACATATGAAAGGATTAAGTGCTTCACAATTTCTGTCATTCCAGTAGTACGTCTTCGTTTGACCCATCCCTTTACTCGGGAACCGATAGAGGTCGCGCAATTCGACGCAATCTTGGTCAGCCAGACCGTCGTCGCTGGGTTGAGCGCCATAATGATTGAACTGAGGCCATCCAGGAAACCAGTCTGAAACAAATACAATCGGTTTCATAATAACATACTTTGATTATATTCCTTGAAGAATATCAGCTATTCGTTATCAACATTCTCATAAAAATCCGGTAGAAGATTGGCTGAACGTACTGCAAATATTCGTCATCTTCTTTAGTGTCTCGCGCCTTTCATTCTAAACCACTAGATGTAAAGTCTATAACAATATCTAAGCCAATCCCGGGATATTACTAATAACCTTGGCAGATAAGGCTGCTTGCTGTGGAATTGCATATAAAAGTTTTTATTACAGTTGTAGATATACCAATACATTATAGCGGAGTAATTTCAGACTTTGAGTAAAGCACGCTTCCTTTTTTTTCGACCCAACAGCCAGAGAATCGTATAACAACACACCATACGAACCAAAAACACTACCTATTATTTGAGTGATTTCGGTTATAAAATGTAACTGTTAGTTACGATTAGAGAGAAAAAAAGATATGTAAGTGCCAAAAACAAGTTATGATCATGTGGTTTATCACAACTGCATGACATGAAGATCGGTTTTACTTGTCTTCATCTTGCACATTTTCTGTTAAAATAAATATTCTTGTTTATCTTTTTTTTTAAGCAAAGAGGTTTTATATATATATTTTTTTCTCTGTGAAATAAATACAGCGCAGTTAATGCATCGCTAAGCTTTTTTATCCAATTAACTTTTTCTATTTTAACACAGAATTATTGATTAACTTTACAATCAAACTGATCGTAAAGTTATTACGGATATGCTAGGAAGGGCAGAGTTCAGAAACTAATTATTTATAGATTGATTGATTTAAAACCTCTAATCATTGTTACTGAAGATGGAAACCATTTCCAGAAAGGTTACTGAAGATGGAAACCATTTCCAAACAGGTTAAACAAAAGAAAATCGAATAGAATCAGCTTTTCCCAAAACAATCGCATACTTTTTTTGCTACAAATTACACTTGATTTAAATTATTTGAAGTAATTATACGTAGAGAGAGTCAAAATATGAGATATATGCAATAAGAGGCTTGATAAATTACAAAAAAAAATCACT